TGCCCCGGTTGACAGCGGCATAGCCCGTGTAGGGCACCCCATCCTCGTGGTAGTTGGACCCATCAACGAACCACACAACGTAGCCTCTCTCCTTGGCCTCCTCCAGGCTGAGGCTGCTCTCAAAGAGGGGTGCCCGCCATGGCTTGGGGTCAGTAAGGGAGACTCCCAGCTGCTCCCCATCCCTCTCTGCACCAATTACTACCCTGTAGGCACCAGGTGAGGGGTCCCCGTGGACCTCCTTGTTGGTCAGTGCCAACGCCCAGTTGGCCATCCTGGGGCAGCACAGGGGACCTTCATCCCCCTTTCCCAACAAGAGGTACCTCACCAGGGTGCAGGAGGTCCTCAGCAGCACTGGGGCTGACCCCAGCAGGTACTCCCAGTGCTGCAGGGCCCAGGTTAAGGTTAAAACCTCCCTCTCATAATCACTGAACTGTTGCTCAACAGGCGTCAGAAGACGTGAGGCGTGGGCAACAGGGAGCAGGTTGGCACTGTGTTGCTGGCTCAGGGTGGCCTGCAGCCCACTCCCCGTGCTGGCCAGCTGCAGAACATAGGGTCTGTCCCCTCGAGGATGTGCTAGCATGGGGGCTCGTGCCACACTCTCCTTTAAGGTCTTCACTGCCTCGTCCTGCTCCGGCCCCCATTCCCAGAGGGTGTTCTTTTTCAGGAGGTGGCAAAGGGGGGCTGCTTTCTCTGCATAGCCCTCAATGAACTCACGGCACAACCTCAGGAGAGACAGGAAGGACCGCAGGGTGGTGACATCAGACGGTGCTGACATCTTCTGTATTAGCTCTACCCTTTGCTTTTCCAGTGAGCGCCCTTCCTCCCCCAGGGTCACCCCCACAAAGGAGACCTCCTTCCAGCACAGCTGGGCCTTTGTGGGGTTGATCCTGAAGCCTGTCTTCTGGACAGCCCCCAGCACCTCTGCCAGCACCTCCAGGTTCTTCTCCTTTGTCTGGGTGTGGATGAGGATATCACCAGCACAGGACAGCACGCTGTCCCGGTGGCTGACCTGCTCCCACATCCTCACCACGCGGGCATGGCAGATGGCAGGGGCATTGTGGAAACCCGGAGGGACTCTGGTGAAAGCAAATTGCCGTCCCCGAATCGTGAAGGCAAACTTGTGCCAGGACTCAGGGTGCAAGGGGATGGCAAATGATGGGCTGGTCAGGCTGAGCACAGAGAACCACTCTGACCCCCGGGAGATGGCTGCCATGATGTTGGGGTACTTGACAACCGCGGAGGTCTGCACTGGGGTGACTTGGTTCAGGGCACTGAAATCAACTGTCAGCTTCCATATTTTCCCATCAGCTTTCCTCAGGGGCCACACTGGTGAATTGCTGGTGCTCTGCTGCTCCACCAGCACACCCTGGTCCAGCAAGGTTTTGACTGTGTCCCACAAGCTGTCCTCAGCCTCAGCTGGGTACCAGGGCTGAAGCTGAGGAGGCGGATCCAGCCCTTTGATTGACACAGCAGCATCAATCTGCCCACAGTCCAGCTTGCTCTTTGCCCAGACCTGAGGAAACTGCTCTGTGACCCGCTTCACCCGGGGCTCCCACTCAGGGTGGACCAGGATCTCAGGGGCTTTCACTGACATCACCCTGTGGCTTGCCGGGATGACGGGCAAATCAATCTGTGGGCAGTGTAGCAATGCTTGGTTTGCCAGGTCCACCACCACCCCCATCTTTGTCAGTGCAGGGATGGCTAAAATTCCTGGCTTTCCTTTCATTTCCATTTTCCCAAATTTTTCGGACCCTTTGGCAGCCCCAATTTCAAAGGGTATGGGCCCTGTAAACGGCACCGAGGATTTCTGGCCGTTTGGCCCTGTCAATTCAATAATTTCAGAGGTTTGGAAGATCCCGGCTCTGCCGGGGGTCATATTCAGAATTGAATAAGAGGCACCAGTATCAATTAACATCACTTGTCCAAGCACCCCTCCTCCAATAGTTGTATCAACTATCAGGCGCCCCCACAAATCGGTCTTAATCGGTGCCACAAAAAGGGGCGATGCAGGTGCCTGGCAGCCCTATTGCTGAGCCTTAGACCCTGGGTCAATTGGGTGGGAGCTGCTGTGCTTTTTGGCCTCATGCAGGGCCAGTTTTTGGAAGAGCTCCGCATCCGGCAAGCCATCAATGTCCTCCTGTTTCTCGTACTTTATCAAGCGCTTCCTCAGCTCAGCCCGCCAAGAGTTAGACTTCTGAAACCTCATCCCTTGCTGGTTCTCCTTCCCCAGCCCCCCCTTGCCATCAGGATCTTTTCGGTTGTCTCCTTGCATTTTTCTCATCCCTCCATTTTGGAAAGACATGGCCATGGTTTTCCCTTTCTTCCCCCCCAACATGTACCCTGGGAATGCCTGCTTTTGCAGCTCAAAATTCTGGTTCAGGATCTGCTCCAGCTCTGATAGAGGCTTTTTGGCTGCATCCCCACCAGCAATCACCCGCAGTGGGGGTGTCAGCCCTACCACCAGTGGCTCCTTGAATTCAGGCCTGTCAAAATTGAGGGGGGAGTCCTTTGAGCCAGGCAGCCCAGCCATCTGGTAGAGCATCTTTTTACGGTTAACATAGGCATCGGGCCTCTCCTCAGGGTTTTGCTTCTCCTGATGGAAGAGCACTAAAGGGTTGACCTCTGGGAAGAACACCTTCAGCACAGCCAGCAGGACATCCCCAATATCCTGGACATTGCCCATCTGCACATCCCCCGGCAGTGAAGCAAAATCATCTGGTTTCATGCTCTTTCTCACAATGTCTATCAGGTCACTCACAAAGTTGCCATTCTGGCACTTGGGCAGACGCTGGATCCTGGACAGCCAGTTAATTGCTGTCTCCTTTGTCAGTGGCCCCAGCATCTTCCCCACTGTCTTAAGCTGCTCAGGGGTAAACCAGAGCACAGCCTTGTTGGTGTCTATGGGCTGGAGTGGGACATGGCTGACTGGCTCATCGTGTGGGACCTTTTTATCTCTGGAAGCCTCTACCTCCCCTACTTGCAGCTGGCACACCTCCTCCCGCAGAGGAGCATAGGGGGACGGCCTGGTGGGGCCATTAGCACCCCACACATCATCCTCATAATCATAGTGGGGTGGGTGCAGGTCCAGGGAGTCCTCCCCCTCACCATTCCCGATCATGGTCCTCTTGCCCTTAATGGCAGCCACAATGCCCCTTGACACCCCCAGCTCTGCCTCCAGCTCCTGGATCTTGGCATGGCATACCTTGTGATCAGGGCCAGTGCCCCGGTCCCGCTGGACGTCCTGCAGGACCGCCCGCACTGCACTCTGGGCATCGTGGGTCTCCCCAATCCACTTGCCAACCTCCTTCTTCAACTCCTCCGTTTTCAGTTTCTCATAGCCCAGCTTGTTTTCCAGTCGGCTAATCTCCACCGCGCTCCGCAGAGAGTCCCCACACAAACCCTGCACCTCTGCCCGCAGGTTGTCCACCTGGATTTTGAGCTCCTCCTTGGCCTGCTCCAAGGTCTGCACATTGTCAAGAGCCTCCTTCAGCAATCTGGACAACTCCCTGCCTACCATCAGCAAACCCTGCAAAGCCGCTCGCTTCTTACACTTGTTAGTGGGTTTGGGCTTTTTGTTCTCCTCTGACCAGCTCTCCCACTGCTGGCACAGCTGCTGGTAAGCATCTGGGCCCTGGAAAGACCCTGGTGACCAGATTGGGGGGAGACACTTCTGGAGCACAAACTGCTCCAGCTTCCAGCTGCTAACGATGTCGCTCATCATAGTGAAAGGGATGGGATCTGAGACGGCTCCGTCTCAGGGCAAAACTACCACAACACACCAGCACTGACAACCTCTTCAACCCCTCCACAGAGCAAGGCTGCAACCCCGCAACCCACCCCTCCGAAGAGCCCCCGGGGGGACACTGAGCCTGGGCAGAAAGCAAGGGGAAGGTGGAACAGGAGGCCACGGCCGAGCCGGCAGCTGCCGCGAGCCGCCGGCTCCCGGGGAGGGAGCGGGGAAGGGATGAGGGAGCGGGTGAAGAAAGGAGAGATGGAGTAGGACCCCAATAATAAGATCTCACCAATCCTCAGCTGAATGTTCTGGCAGTCCCAGGAGATTGGAGATGGTCTCTGCAGAGGTCCAGCAGATCCAACACCTTTAAGGTAAAGGTGGTCACGAAGTCTCAGCCTGGTGATTTTTATAGCCATGGCAGGTCGTTGTTTGGGGCCGGTGACACCTGTGTTTACTTCCTTGGTGGCTTTTCCTCCTCCATGTGCTGCCTTCCCAAGGACACTTTCCTTGTCTTTCTTTATCCTCTTCAACACTGATTAGGGAAGCTGAGATCACACGGCAGCACCTGCACTGCCCCTTATCTGTTTGGGGGGGTCCAGGATTAGTCATGATTCACACTAAACTTCTGCTTGCACCAAATGTCCTGAAGAGGGAGAGCTGGAGCCTGTTCTCTGATTGTCCACCCTTCCAAATCCCCCCATGGCCCACTGCACACCCCATTAGCACCTGGGGTTTGTAGGGAGATCACACACAAAGCTCACACCTGACACCTGTAACAAACACAGTCCCACCAAACCACCCCCCAAGCACTGATCTATTTGCCAGGGAGGGATGAAATGACAGGAAAATTCATTCAAGTCATTATTTAGATCCATTTTGGCACCTGGTCTTTAAAAGCAGCATTTTTCCGTGCCACAGCCCAGCTCATCATACACTGGCATGGACCTTGGGGTTACCCCATGAGATGTCAGGAGCCTCCACTGTGGTATTACATCAGCTCAATGGCAGCTGTAAATCTGCACCTGCAAAAGCAGATAGACCCCCCCCCACCCAGCCTCACCATACAAACCACATCTTAGCTTGGAGAAGTTTAGAAAATATGACCCACTTGTTTTGGGGTTTTTTCTGCTATTACAGTCAGAAAAAGGTACCAATCGTCTCAGTGAAAATGCATCATTTTCATTATTGATTTTACCTCTAATGAAATACTTCAGAAGCTAAACCCTCCACTAGAATAAAAACACTTTAAAGAATTTTTAAAAGGAAAAAAAAATGTCCACACATGGCTGTTGGAGCTTGAGGGAGTTTTAATCCTGCACCCCTTTACCCCCCAGAGCAGCCCTTATTTCAACATACTGCAGTACTGGCTTGTGTTGGACTGGTCTGGAGGCTGAGCAGCCTTCCCTGACCCCCAAAATCAGTCCTTTTAGCCTCAGAAGCACAGAGAGAATGATTTGTTTCTCTATTCTTATGGTAGCTGTTTTCTCTAGCCTGGCATTTACAGCCCAGCTGCAATTAACCTCCTCTGCAGCATGGGAGTTCAACAGAGATGAAGCCCAAGCTGGGTCCTTCTTCTTGGCTCTAAACCTGTTCTACACCAATGCTTTGCTCCAGCCCCCCAAAACAAACACTTTATTGTAAGCAACTCATAACAGTGGGAAAAGAAAGAGTGAAAATTTCAGAAAAGTTAGTGAAAGCACCAGAAATTAATGGTGTGGTGAGGTGGGCAGGATGCAGGCTGGAAAAAAGAAGAGGGGCTGTTCCCCATTAGAGTAGGATGGGTTCACAGGGGGTTGGCTAGGCTGGGGACAGGGATGGTTGTCTTTAAGAATCAAAATTCCCCTAGAAATTGTGCAGCTTCATATTAGAAATACACCAAAACTCAACAATTCCCCCCCAACATGGCCCAGCCGTGAGCCAAACACTGGTGATTAGGAGCTGCTGTTCCTCAACAAGGTCACTGACAAATCTTGCTTGTGTGAACAGATAAGATCAACTTACACTCTTCTTTCCTCCCATTTTCTTCCCAGGATAGCAGCCCCAAACAATGTGGGGATGTTATAAACAGCAGCTGTCTCCTGCACGTCCACACAGTGCTTTGATTTTTGTTGGTGATATGCTGCCAGACAGAAGTATGCCTCCTCCAAAATGTTTTCTTGTAGGAGCAACAGCCATTCCTGAGAACAGCTTGGCCACTGGTAAACAGCAATTTTTAAAAAATTATATTTAATCTGTGTTCCAGTACACCATGCTTTTACATTTCATATATTCCTTTTGCTTTCTCTAGAGCTGCTATAATGTCCTGGGGAGTCATCCCAGTGTAACATCCTTGTATCCAAGGTTGTAATGATGGCAAAAGCCACCTCTGAGAAAATTTCTTGTCCTGGCCAGGAAGGCAGAAGTTGCTCGAGGTGACAGCAGCAGTGGGAAAAGAGAGATGCAGCCATTGTAGCTGCTGGGGATTTTGGGCTCAGCTCACAGACTTCACCACAGGGATGAAGGAAAAATTCACTTACAGTGGCAGTTCTCATAACAAGCACTGCCTTCTCCCCTGCCTCACAAAAAAGAAATGTTTCACCTCACTCTAGGGAGGGCCCAGTCTCAGTGTGATGTGAAGCAAAAGGGGACAGATGAGCAGAATGTGAGGACAGCAGAGGCAAATGTTGCTGCAATCCACATCAAGGGCTCAGCTCTGAAAACAACAGCTTGGAAGCACTGAAATGAGTTTGAAAATGCTAAAATTGCCTTCTCCTGCCAGGAAATAGTTAAGGAACAATTCAGCCCACCCTAAAGTTTAGCAGATGAGCCTATTGTGGCAAGGGTTCTGCAGTTAGCAACCCGCTTCAAGCAGGAAATCAATTTAAACAGAAATGGGGAGAGGATGTGTTACAGCAGCATGGAAAAATCTGGTACAAAATGGACCAAAAGCTTACAGTCTACAAGATGCAATATTGTTCTTCCTATTCATCTGCCAGCCCAACCCTGGGGGAGGTTTCTCAGTGCCCTCAAGTGAGATTCCCTTTTCTGAGGAGATGTTGGGGCATCATAAGGACAACAAGTAACTGCATGTGGGGGACATAAAAGAAAACTGAATCTCATTCGGCAGCCAATAGGGCAGCAAATAAATAAAAATAATAAGTGATTTCTATTTTTTTCCCAAACATGAAAATATTGAAGCCTGCTGTTCATCTCTGTAATTTCAATTCATGCATTTGTCTTTGAATCCTAAACCCCAAGTGCTTCAAACCTCTTCCTCACAGATATTTCAAAGTCATTCTGATATTTTATCGTTTAAGTATTTCTGCCTATGAGCCACGTGCTGTCACAGCTACCAAAGCAGCACATGCTGTGAGGTGGGGAGCCCCAGCAGAATTTCCTCATTTTTGCGGTTTTTCAGACACAAATTTGTTTGAGGTTTCCTGCTCTTGATTTCAAAGCTTTCTGTGATGCCTCACATCTCTGCTTTATGTTGGGTTGGTCTGGTGTTCAGCATTTTCCAGAGAAAAACACCTCCTACTATAAATTCTGCTGAAGAAAACAACCTCACGGTTCAAATTGCATCTTTTCCTTGTTTTAAATGCTTTTTTTAATTTCAAAAGGGAGGAAAACAGCCAAAATTCATGATTTCCTGCCTTTATCTTTAAGGTCCTACATTTGCAATTTTTTGGTAAAAGTAGATTAAAAGAAGGAGGAATAACTAGGTGGTGAAATATGAAGATATCATAATTAAAAATCAGTGAGTTTTCTTGGTTTTATTTCCAAAGGGGCTTTAAGGGTACCCTGTGAAGTGCTGGAGAAGAGTATAGGGCTGTTGCCCCGGTGCACTCAGGTTTGGGGCTCGGTGCAGAAGAAGCTGCTGGGTTGAGGCTCCAGGTGCTGCTGTGGCAGAGGCTCTTTGGCAGCTGCTGGTGAGAGATCTGCACAGAGAGGGGCAAGGACTTCCTGAGGTGAAGCCAGCCCTGCCACCAAGGGGTGACAGCGAGAGGAAAAGAGGAGCTGGCACAAAACCCCTCCGTCACCGAGTCCGCCACCATGGTCTGGCCATGGCTCCATCTCTACATCTGCCTCCAGATCCCAGGTAAGAGGGACACATCTCTTAAGGGTTGAGGGCACCTAAAATCATGCTGGAGCCTCTCTTCAACCACACTCCAGCAGCTGGACGATGGAATATTAAATATACCATCACACTATAGATCTACAGAATATTATTACCTATTTCCAATAATTTTGGATCATGCTATCCATAACAAGCTTTAGGTTTTGGTCAGTTCTGAACGGGTCAGGAAGCAGGACCGGCTGGTTGCTGTGCATCCCTTCCAACTGGAATAGCCTATTCTATTCTGTTCTATTCTATTCTATATTCTACTCATATTTCAATACATAATGATACAGACACAACAGAGTTTTTGCTGCGCCCTCAGTGCAGATGGACTGTAGGAAGCTGCTAATGGAGAAGTTAGAATAGCTCCTCTCTCCACTGCCTGTGTAACATGAAGATGATAAACATCCCATCAAATTTTCTAAATCTTCCAAAGATGAGTATTTCCTAAGGCCCACAGCTGGAACTGGTGTGTTATAAAACCATTCTGCCTTACAGGCTCTGATACCCTATAGATCTGTGAGGTGGGAATCCCACTGAGAAAAGCTCAATAAATGAGAGTTTGCTTTGCCCATGCAAAAGGAAAAGGGAGCATTTTTAAGGTGCTGCAGGCTGGTCTGGCCAAGCACCATGATTCCCCATGGTTCCCTTGAATACACACCAGGAAAGGGAACAGGGAGGTTTTGGGGTTGAAGATATGACTGAAGATGAGTTTTCTACTCTGTCTCCATCCTAGCTCACTCCTGGCTTGACCGCTGGCACTGAGCTGAGATCTTCCAGAATCTCTTCTTATCTTTTCTGATTTATATAACTTAGATAGTGTCTCCAACAGGTCAAGGATAAGTTTTCATGAAGAGTTATGTTTCCCATGCCCAGCAGAGCCAGACTTCAGGGTACTCAAGGAGACCCTGAAGCCCCCCTGTGCCATGGCCACACACATTTCATCCCCTAAAAAACACACAGGTGTTTGCCAGGGCAAAATTTGAGAGAATTATGCTCTAAAACCTTAAAATTATGTATTTTAATAATAAGGAGACATTAATGTTGTCACAGAGCCAGAGGATATGGCGAAATGCTCCAGCTGCTGTGCAACACTTGAATTCTGGCATTGCAGTGTTAGTGTTTTGCAGGACTGGCAGTGATAGGGCCATTGGTGTGGGGACAGAGGAAGGCTCTGGACCCCTGTCAGTTACTGGAGCCCTCTCCTCTGCCCATTGGGAACACGGGAGACATCAGGACCTTGTGCCACATTAATGCCTTTAGGTGTTCTTGGGTAATCCCCACAGCACTGGGTTAGCAGGGCTGCATGAGCCTGAAAAAACTGCTGTAGACAACTTCAGGATTTTGAAGAAAAAGGAACATTTTAAGGTAAAAAAAGACAAGAAACATATATTATTGAGCTGTTTGCACAGCTTTAAAACATGCCTGGGAAAGAGACGGGGGAAGCAGGAGTGTCCTTATCTTCAGAGGGCTGTTTTTTACTCGGTCTCAGAGTATCTGCAGCTTTGCAGGACTGTTTGCTGAACAGCAAAGATCACAAGTTACCTGTTTTCCTTTCCACAAGGACACATCCTCACTCACACAGACACCCCTCACATCTCCCTGGGCCAAACAAGACTCAGATAATTTCCACAAAAGCTGCAAAGCCCAAACAGGGCTTTGGTGATGCCAAACTAAAGCTTTGAACTCCACCACTGCCCCTCACTCACTCCCTCTCCTTCCTCATGTCTCAAAATTCCTTTGAAAAATATCACTGTCTGAAAACTAATATCAAATTGGCTCATTTTGAGATATTTTACACATTTTTTTGTCTCTTTTTCTGCCCCTGCAATGTTTATCAGAGTTACATCTGTTAGAAGAATAACCTGGCAAACCAGTTAAGAGGCACAAAAAATTTGTTGAAAAAGGGGTGAAATGTCTGAAAAATGAGAAAGGTAAGGAGGGCAGGAGAGGGGCATCCACAGGAGCAGGCAGGGATGCTCTTCCCTGCACATATAGCCCTGAGGACACCCTCAAAACCATCCCTCCATCCCTCTCCCTGCCAGTGAGCCTCCTCCTTAGCTGAGTGTCACAGAGAAAAGTCTGCCTGTATAATTTGACTTGGCCAAAAAAATAGCTGGAGAACCCAAAAAGGCCTCTGAGGGAATATGGGAGCATCCTAATAAAAATGCTCCTGTTTCTCACTTCTGTGACCCCCCTGGTCTGTGTGTCTACGTGATTTTATTAAGCCCATAAAGAAAATGTATACTTTGGATGAAAGAAAAATAATGAATTAAAATAATAACTGTATATTTCTCTTTTTCCTTAGGTTTTTATACACTTTTAACCCAAACTCCAGGGCACCTTCCAGCCCAAACTAACAGTAAAACCGAAATGCTCTGTGAGGTGAAGAAGGAGCATACCGGGGTGTACTGGTACCGCTGGAGCCAGGAGAGGCAACATTTTGAGTTCTTGGTATTTTCCAACATGCTGGGCAAAGCCACGTACGGCACAAACGTGAGCCGGGACAAATTCAGTGTCCATGAGGCAAGGGCCCACAGCTCCTACACCCTGCACATCAGCCACCTGCATCCCTCAGACAGCGGCACTTACTACTGCTCCATCTCCCAGTCCTCCCAGCTCCTCCTGGGCAGTGGGACACAGCTCAGAGTGGGTAAGCAGCACACTCGGGATTCCAAAATGTGTCACCAGTAGGCTGTGATGAGGCCCCCTGGAAAAGGGGTGGTTAGTTTTGGTAGATTCTTCCCAGTTTTGTGATGTAAGGTTGGGGCTCTGGGGATTTTCTGAAGAGACTGGATAAAGCAGAAAATGCAGAAAATAGCTGAAATTTAGGTCAGCTTCATGTGATAGTCCTTTTGCCATCAGCAGTTGCTCTGTTGTGGGCACACCTTGAGCTCCGCATTGGTCCTAGTGCTTTAAGATTTCCACGGGAAGACCTGATATTGCCATGCCCTGTGTTTTTCTCACTCCCTGCTGTACTTTGGATGAGAGGCTGGATGTGTGCCCTGCTCAGCTCACAGGGCCTTCCATGCCATAATTCTTCCTTATGCTCACTCCAAGTGACAAGAGCAGCGAGGCCAGAGAGTATCACCCCTCACATCTCTGGGGTGGATCTGATGGCAGCTTTCAAGACCACCCTTCACAAAAAAATACTGAAATAGGATTTATTCCTCAAAGCTCACAACCCACTATCCTTGGGGAGATCCAAACAGAAATGACATTTTTCTGCAGGTGTCATGGGAGGAGAGAGGCTTTACAGACATCTGGGTCATACAGAAGCTCTTTTCAGCCCATTTTCCTTTTGACCACAGAGCAGTAGTTGATGCAGAAAAACTAATGTATTTGAAGTGGGATTCAGCCTCTATTTTTGTGGACTTTTAGGGAGACAAATAACTTATTTAACTAAGATACAAATAACTTATTTAACCAAAATGCCGCTACAGCTTCTGACTCTAAAGCAGAGCCAGTGTCCCAGTTTTTCTGGGTTTTTTTTTGCAAATATACTCCGTACCTTGAACGGAATGAGAAATCCCATTTTGGATTCTTGCAGGCTCAGAGAAAAGCTGGTTTAAGATAAAGGAGAATTGTTTTTTAACAGCTGGGCACATATCTCTGTGCAGAGCATGAAAAACAGTCTTGAAATGGCTTGATCAAGGACACCAATTAAAAAGTAAACAGCAGCAGGTGCTCAGGGAGGACTCTGGCTTTCCTAGATATTTTCCTTTTTTCCTTTTAGTTCTCATGATAAAACAAATTGTCTTTACGTTTCTTTTCCCTAAGTCTATTATAATGTAAGGGGGAAATTGTCCAGATAAATCCCAAAGCTCTGATGCCTCATCTTTTCATGTAAAAGAACGGTTGTTTCTGTAGGAATTTATATCCTGGAAACTGAAAAATAAAATAGTTTTCAATCACCTAAATTTTTTAATAAATATGGTTGGAGCAGTCAGACACGCAGCTATTTAATGACATTACTGGCATATTTTCCTGGCCAACTTTATTCAGAAATGAATGTGTTCCGTTGTAATTCAGATACACCATAACAAATCCTGCCCTCATTTTATCAGGGAAAAAAAATAAATCAAATGTTGAGCAAAGATTAGAGCAATGTGAACAAGGAAAAGATCCAGAGATCCCTTAAAACATTGCAGTGCTGCTGAAATCTCCCGCTAGCCATGACTTTGTGCAATGCTGGTGAGACGATGCTTGGCAGCTAATGTCACTCAAGCAAGTTTGGGAGTTTTCCCTGCATTAGCCTTCTCCCCTCCTTTACCTGGTACATTTTTTATTAACACTTTTAAAAGCTCTTGGTAATTTCTGTGACCCCCAAGAGGCTCAGGTCAGGCTCAACCCTGTGAGTGACACAGCCCTTTGCTGGGGTCACTGGATGGGGCTTGTTCCAAGCGCCAAAATTTGCAGCCCCTCTTGTCTGCCTTTGGAGATCTCTGCTGCACTCAGTGCTTCACTGACCTTCCTCTTCCTCCTTATCCCCCAGGTTCAGTGACCCACTGACCATCCTCTTCCTCCTTATCTCCCAGCTTCAGTGCCCCACTGACCATCCTCTTTCTCCTTATTCCCCAGCTGATGCTTTGCCTCTGCCTCCAAAGACCACACAGACACCAGTGTCCAAAAAGCCCGTGCCGCGGATAACCAAAAGCAAAGCTGCCAGCAGGACAGGTATGGCACTGCCCCAGCTCAGGCTGCCTGGATAAAGGGGCTTGCTGAGCTCTTGGGGTCCTGAGGGCTCAGCTGGAGTTTGTCCTGGGGTGGGGGCCACCACAATGTCACCCTGCAGGAGTGGGTGTCTGGCTCCAGATAAACGCACTGCTCTGGGCAGAGCTGACTTCTGCCTGTAGGAGGGATTCCCTGGAATACCCACAGGTTTGGGGGCCTGGATGTATTTCAGTTTAGGTTATCGCGACCTCAGAGCTAAGCTCCCTGCCATACCTTTTTTACTGTGAGGGGGAATGAGCACCAGAACAGGCTGCCCAGAGAGGCAGTGGAGTCTCCCTTATCAAAAATATGCAAAAGCCATCTGGACACAGTCCTGTGCCATGTGCTCTGGGGTGAGCCTGCTTGAGCAGGGAGGTTGGACCAAGTGACCCACTGTGGTCTCTTCCAACTTTACCCATTCTGTGATTCTGTGATTCTGTGAGTCTGTAGTGCATCCTTTAGAGGATACCCCAGGGTGACGGTCACATCCTCCACCGCTCCTCTGAGGAGCTGCCTTGCCTCTCTCCCTTCCCCACCCCACACTCCATCCCGCAAAGCTGCTGGGGCAGGGTGGTGCCAGCTGCTGAGTCCTCTCCTCTCCCAGGTCCCTGCAGTCCCCTGGTCTGGATCCCCCTGGCCGCGGGTGTCCTGCTCCTCCTGCTGGGCCTGGTGCCCGCTGCCCTCCGCCTCCACCGTGAGTATCCCCCCATCACCCTGAGGGGTGCCGGGCCCTGGGACAGCCCAGGACAGGGGGTGAGCCGGGAGGGGCTCCTGCCACTGACGGACACTATCTCTTCCCAGGTCTGCGGCGGAGGCTGTGGCTTCGCATCCACAGGCAGTAAATCCCAGAAAATCCCAGAAAATCCCAGGAAATCCCACTGCCCCCGTGCCTCGGACAGGGAGGAGCCACGGAGCCTCCCCTGCTCAAGGCTGAGCATGAGGCTGTCCCAGGCAGGGGACAGACGTGGGCTTCTACCACAAAACAGACATTTCTTTCCTGCGACAGACCATGACTTCAATATTTTCCTTGGCACAACAGCTGGCAAAAGGACCAAGCTGGATTCTGCAGCATCCTGAGCACTTCTCAAAGGAAAATGAGCAGGGCAAATGCCACAGCTGGCTCTGCACAGGGGGAAGGGGCTGGTGCACCAAAGGGATTCAGATGGGCTGGAAAACTGAGCACCTTGGGTCTCCTCTGTTAATCTGTAGGACAGCACAAAGGTGCTTTTTTTGCCCCTGTTAATACTGGTTGATAAAATTTTGATTTTATAAAAACAAACACTGAGAGCAACCAGCAGGGATGGGGAAGACGAAACTTGTAAAGACCCTGTGCAGGTTTATTCAATACCAAAAGTGAATGTATCACTCAGTTATTTTGTTCCCCAGTTTGGTGTCTTTTGGTACTGCTCAGTGAGGGACGCGGTTGTGTGGCAAGCAAGGAACCACGGCCTCCAACCAAGAAAGAGTTAAGGCAGAGCAAAAGCTCCAGGGGTGAGCAGATCTGGGAGAGTGCCTTCTCCCATGGGAGACTGCAAACAGCCAGGAGGGGGAGAGGAAAACCAGACAAAGCTATGCACACAAGGCCAAACACTTGGCACAGCCTGAAGGTCAACACCACCTCTGAGGGCAAACAGAGGCCCTCAGGGGCTGGCCCTGAGCCCAGCAGCACAGCATGGCCAGTGAGTGATGCCTGGGTGTGCTGAGCCCCAAGTGACCCCTGTGTCCTGACCCCTGTGTGACATCCCTGCATGCTGAGTCCCAAGCAATGCCCATGTGTGCTGAGCTTTGAGTGATTCCAGAAGCAGGGAAGGTCTCCCAGGGGGTGTTAACAAGGCTCAGCTGCTGCCCAGGGTGCCAAGGCAGAGCTGGGGCTGGAAATCTGGCGTCCTGCTGAACACAGGCAGTGAGCACTCGCTCTCTGATGCACCCCCAGCCCCACATCTGCTCACACACAGGCACCAGCACTGTGTCAGCTACAGTGAGGACAAGGGGAAGGTGGGCCAGAGTCCCCAGTTGGGGCTAGCACAGTCTTGGGATGAGCTTGTGGGTGCAGGGCATCGCAGTGGCAGACCAGCATCACTCTGGCCTCCCCCTCCCTCCCAGCCACAGGGTGCTGCTGCTTTCCACTTTAGTACTGATTTTTCTGTAGAGCTTGGTCTCGAGCCCAGCTGTTGGTGCTTCCCCTAAATGATGCAGTGGATCATGCTAAGCCAGCTTTCCCAGGCTGTGACACTCACCCAAGCTCTCAGGCCACCCAGCCTGTGGGGACACAAGCAGGAGACCCCATCCCACCACAGGCAGAGCAGGAAGGAGACTCTGAGCATCTCTGATCCCCATAAATCACCATTTCTCCTCTGTGAGAGCTCACATTAACTAAAACCATCATTTTCCTACTCTGCAAGTAGTGAGCAGAGTTTTGCCCCAGAAGAAGATGGTTTTTATGACATGTACATTTTTCACGACAGCTGTAAGAAAACCCCTTTGATACTTCCCATGGGCAAAGGTTTATTCCTTATAGCCCAACCCCAATAACACAAGCACAAAGGATAGGGATTTCCCCCTCGGCTCTCTGCTCCCCCACAGCAAAGATTTTGCTCAATGTCTGAATTCCCCAATTAGTCTTCACTTTCCCTTTGTATGTGAAAAAAAAAAGAAAACCAAAACCAAAACCCACCCAGACTCTACATCACCTGTGTGCAGTGAAAACAGGAGAGGACAGTGACATCCAAAGGATGTCTGGCCTGTTGAAACACAGGTTTGGGCAGTTTACCAGTAGAAATTATGAAAAAATAATAGTAATTTCTGTAATCATCAATAGTGTTTTATACAGTAAAACTGGGAGAGATTTTAGCAGCAGGTTTCACAATTGTGAGAGCTGATGGATAAAAATAGATTCCCATTTCGTAGACTTTTTTCCCAGAGCGTAAATAAGCACAAAACAGAAACACTAATTAAAAGATGCTGCAAAAATTATCCCAATTCCCTGATATCTGCAAGTGTCACTTCTGCCACCATGTCCTGGCACATGAGGGACCCTAATTTATTCCTTGATTCCTTCCAATGATGGATCAGCCTTCTCCTGTGTCCCACTGTCACCGTCCCTCCTGCAGCAAGGAACAGAAGGAAAAATAATGGGATTTTATGCATATAGCCCAAATAGCAAGGAACAGAAGGAAAAATAATGGGATTTTATGCATATAGCCCAAATGCCCTGCTTCAAATACAAATAAACCATTTCCTCTTAAATGACAAAAAGGAGGCACCAGAAAATTTGGACAAAAGGACGAGGAGGGTTTTGCAGAGGTATGGGCTCAAAAACAAAACTTCACCTTCTCTTTTGTAAAGAGACCAAAAATTACATGTTGCAAAAGTCTGGTTTATTATTACTATTATTTCTTTTCTATTTTATAGTATATCTATATCTATTTTATATAGAACATGTTATAGAACATATATATAATATATATAATATATAGATGATATACAAAGAAAATACAGAATTTTTATTCTATATTATAAAAATATAATCCAGTTGTTCTCTCAATAAACAGTGCAGATGTTGAAAGCACTAAAATATTCAAAGGATAGATACAGAGCAGAAACACAAATACTTCAGGCATTGCAGTAAATATTCTTCATGGTTTTGTTAAAGTTCTGCAAATGCATTGTTAAAAAATTGCCAGTCTTTACAGAATATCTCAGTTGTTAATCTAATTTTGGAAATGCTCGATTTTTCTTTATTGTTTTAAGCTGCTCAGTCATTTTTATGTGGGTGGTCTGTGTTTTTACGATACAAAAAAGTAAATCAGGTGCAGTTGAAAACACTTAACTGAAAGCAAATTATTGACATGAGAGTAAAGTTGTGTCTGAGTTTAAAGCTCCTAACATATATAAAAAAAATTTCAGTCATAAACTGCTGAGTGAGGCACAATAACAGAAAGGCTGGATAATATCTCTGTTAAATTAATCAACTTGAAATGTGTGCAAAAAGAAAGGAGATACATTATCCATGGGTGCTCTTTAAATTCCTTTGGATTTATCCTTGCCCAGAACAGCTCTGTGCACTGCAGCTGTTTATTAAATATGTTGTCCTGGGAGGAGAAATGGATTCTCAGCAGGACTTCTAAGCATTCAGGTCAGATCTGTTAAATGGGAGTTTCTAAATGTCTTTTTCTGTCACTGTATAAAATCAGATACGTCCCAGAAACAGCAAGGAAATCCCAAAAATACCTTCTAGGAATAAAAAAAACTGCATCCACGTAGCAAAAGTACTTTTTGCCCCTATTTCCCTGGACTTCAATAAGACAAAAATAGCAATGTGTTGAATTTCTGGTTTATATAAACAATAAAATTGTTTTTTTAAAATATATTATTCTAATTATTGCTTAATATAATTTCTGGATATTAATGTATGTATTATTTGCTGAAATAACAAGTACTTGTGTATGTCAGTATGCAATGAGTGCACTCAGGGTGAGATCTGCAGCTTCTGTGGGATTAAAAACAAATATCTGTTATTCCAGCATTCATTTAAGTGTAACACGTATTGGACCAAGTCAAAAATAAATTTGACTGTAATGTATGTAATTTGCTCCTCTACTGCCTTGCTATGAGAGAGGTTAATTTGGGTTCATACACCAGTGGATCTCTCACCTGAACCAAAACTCACCCATGCTTTAAATGTTTGCAAGATGACAGGAGCCTTAACATTCCTCCCTTAGGAATTTGTGTTTTTCTAGTAAACTTTTCATTTAGCCTTTAAGATCCACATGTGCATGAAAGGGGGCTGCATCACAGTTTTAAGAGAGAGAGTATAATTATTACTGATTTATGCTTTCTGATCTAGTTAATAAATGAAAACCAGATATGAAATACTCCCAAAAAAATCCCACTGATGACATCAGCTCAGAATCTTTTCTCTGCCAGGTACAACAGGGATCTCACACAGCAAAATTATTTAGTTCATTTAATATAAAACCCCCAAACCCCTAGGAGGAATCACTCAGGTGGAAGCCAATCAGCAAAGAAAACTTGTTTAGATGGCAAAACCCTCTCCATCCTCTCCCAAAAGCTCCTTGGATTGGTGGGAGCTCTCAGGCAGCCAGACTGACACAGGCACCTCTGAGTTTGTCTCCTTGGCTTTTTTTAGCCCCAACAATGAATCAGGGCTAAGTTTTGTCTTGCCCTGGACTGAGTATCTGTATCAGATACTGATCAGATATCCTGGACTGGACTCTGTATCAGACAGCAAAAAACTTAATCCTGGAGAAATTTGAAGAAGTTTTGCAATACTGATGTTTTCAAGGGCTTGAGCTTTGCTGGGAAGCACCAAACAATTCTGGAATTCCCTTTGCAGAGCATTGGGAGCAATGGATGCCTCCAAAGAAAAGTCAGGACAAGAGGAAATGTCCTGGAGTTGTACCAGGGGAGTTTTAGATCAGATATTAGGAAAAATTTCTTGACTGAAAGGGTTGTCAGGCCCTGGCACAGGCCATCCAGGACAGTGGTGCAGTTCCCACACCTGGAGGGGTTTAAAAGACATGCAGATGTGCCACTTGGGGACATGCTTTAGTGGTGGCCCTGGCAGTGCCGAGTGTAGGGTTGGACTCGATGATCTTACAGTTCTTCTCCAACCTGAACAACTCTGTGATTCTGTGCTGAGCCCACAGGCCGGTGCCAGCCACCACGGGCACCCTGCAGGACCAGCCCTTGTCCCATCCCACCCCTTGCTCCACGCTGAGAGCTCGGAGGAGCCAGCCTTACCCTGCCCCAGCTGCAAGCCACGCTGGGTTTTCTGCTCCTCTTCTCTGCTGGTGGTTAAAACATCCAGCCAGGAGGTCAGGCACCAAAATGTGGTGTGCAACCACCCTCCCTCCCCGCAGGGCTCAGCAGGGAGGAGGGCTGTGGCTTAAGAGACATCTCTGACCCGAGCTGTAGGTGTGATCTCACCCACCACACATCCTGCTGTGCCCACCCAGCTCGGAGAGCCGGGGCTGTGGGCTGTGCAGGCAGCATGAAATGCAGCACAAAAGCATCCTGCTGGGCAGCTGCCTCTGGGAACAGGCACAGCATCCCCAGAGGAGCTGGGTGCACGCTGCTCTTCCACATGGCAGCACCAGAGCCAAGTGCCACCATAGCACAGAATCAGAGAATCATTTCGGTTGGAAATTACCTCCAAGTTCATCAAGTCCAACCTTTGACCCAATACCTCAATGCCAAAATGCACTGTCTGCTTGTTTTTTGAGCACTATCACTGATGGTGACTCCACCACTGCCCTGGGCAGCCTGTTCCACTTCTTAGCCACTCCTTCAGCGAAGAAATTTTTCCTAATAGCCAACTGAACCTCCCTTGGCTCAACCTGAGGCCAT